TTCCATGCTTCTGTCCAGTATGGTGTGGCCCGGCTTGTTTTCCTTGCCATTGATTCATAGGTTTTGGACGCTTCTATCGCTGTGATGCATTGGGTGAGTGTTGGTGCCGCAGTTTGTTTCCAGTTCCTGCTGATGATAGTGAGGGCTGCTATACATATGTGGTATAGTAGGTATTTAGTGTGCATGTGCTGTGTTGGGGGAAGTAGTAATAGCAGGAGTACTTCCGGCAAGGGGGGGATATGTAGATCGGTACATCTCTTTATTAGGTCTATGACTTGTGACCAGTAGTTTTGCAGTAACGGACACTGCCACCATATGTGCATTAAGGTGCCTCGGTCCCTTAGGCACCTCCAACATTTGTCTGAAGTATTCGGGTAGCTGTGTTTGAGTCTTGTTGGGACTAAGTACCATCTGTATAATAGTTTGCGGGAGGTTTCCATGTGTGATGTGCATAGAGTAAGTTGTTTGTTGGCATGGAAAATGGTACGCCATTGGTCACTCATGAGCTCGTGTCCTATATCTCGTTCCCATGCCGTTTGGAAGGAGGGCGGAGATGCTTGGGTGCCTGAGTTCGCAGAGGCGTAAATTCTTGAGATGAGTTTCTTTGCTGGCTTGACTTTGGTGCATATTTGTAGCAGTCTGAGCCAATGTGGATCAGGTGGGGCCGTTGTTTGTTGCGATTTATTGAGTTTTATCCATGATTGCAATTGAATATAGGAGAAGGTCGCTGTCTTGGTTAGTTTGTATTCTGTGCAGATATCTGTAAGGGGCTTGAGGCGATCTCCCTGCAGTATTTGCGATAGTGTGTTTATTCCATGCCTCTGCCAGAGTTTGTAATTGAAGTCTGGGATAAGTTGTCGTAGTGCTTCCATCGGGGTTGCTGGTGAGAAGGATGTTGTCGTACCTCTCTTTCGGTGATAGTTATCCCATACGGAGAGGGTTAGATTGGTGGTTGGCAGTAGTTCTGATGTTTTGGGTCGGAGGCTTGTCGGCAGCCATGCCAGAGCTGGGAGGGAGATTCCCCTGGCGCGGCTCCTCTCTAGTTCTTCCCAGGCCAGGGGGGTCTGGCGGTGCGATGCTGCGATGAGTGGGGCGATGTGGGCGGCTCTGTAGTATTTCTCTACTTCCGGCAAGCCCATTCCGCCCTGGTCATGGGGTTTGTACATCGTGGTTGAGGCCACTCTTGGTTTTTTGTAGTCCCATATGTATTCATTTATACTGCGTTGCAGTTCCATGAGGTAGTGTTTGGTGAGCTTAAGTGGGAGTGTGCGGAATAAATATTGGATTTTTGGCAGGATCACCATTTTCACTGAGGCTATTCTGCCCGTCCAGGATATGTATTTCCCCTTCCAACCGTGCAGTAGAGTTTTAATTTCCGCGTGTAGTTTGGTGTAGTTTGCCTTGAGTAGTGTGTTGGGTGAGGGGGTGAAGTGGACTCCTAGGAATTTAATATGGTCATGTCTCCAGTCATACTTAAAGTGCGTCTTAAGGTTGGACATGTCTGATTTCGGGATGTGGATGCCCAGGGCTAAGGTTTTGGAGATGTTTAGTTTGTAGTATGAGCATGCGCTAAAGTGGGATAGGATTTTGTGAAAGTTGGGCAGGGATATGTGAGGTTGTTCCAGCGTAAGCAGGATATCATCCGCAAATAATGACATTTTGTATTCCCGGCTATTGGTCTTAATCCCGTGTATGTTCGGGTCATTTCGTATTAGTTGGGTAAGGGGTTCGAGCGTTAGTATATAGAGTAATGGGGAGAGTGGGCAGCCCTGTCTAGAGCCGTTGGATATTTGGAAAGGTTTTGAGATGAATCCCCCATTGACCACCCTGGCAGACGGTGAGGAGTATAGTGCTTGAACGAGTGCTAAGAACTGCGGGGGGAATTCAAATTTCTGGAGTACTGCCCTCAGAAAAGGCCAGTGAAGCCTATCGAAGGCCTTTTCTGTGTCTAGGGATAGAAGGACACTAGGGTTTTTGCTCTCCTGTATTTCATAAAGTAGGTCTAGAGTTTTCCTAGTGCCGTCTGCCCCCTGCCTGCCTCCGACAAATCCTACCTGGTCCTCCTGTATCAGGGAGGGTATAATTTGCGCTAGTCTATTAGAAAAGATTTTTGCTATAATTTTTATATCCGTATTTAGTAGGGAGATGGGGCGGAGGTTTTGGCACCTATTCGGGGGTTTCCCTGGCTTAGGAAGAGTGGCTACGTGGGCCGTCAGCATCTCCCTTGGGAGTTGTCCTGTTTGTATGGCATGGTGGTATACCCTTTGTAAGTAAGGTGCTAAGATTGGTGCGAATTGTTTGTAGTAAGCATTTGTCATACCGTCTGGGCCTGGTGATTTCCCTGGTGGCAGAGATTTGATAGTATCTATGATTTCTTGTTCAGTGATCTGGTGTTGTATCGCGGCTTTTTGGGTGGTGGAAAGTGTTGGGAGTTCCATCGTTTGGAGAAAGTCATTAATTTCTCTAGGGGTTGGTTGGTGCAGGTTAGGGTCTGTGTTGAGGTTGTATAGGGAGTGGTAATAGTCGGCCATACTGTCGTTAATGTCTTGTGGGTTATGTATCTTTTCGCCTGTGGCTGTAATCAGATGAGGGATTTTAGAGTTTGTCTGTTGTTTTTTAAGCATATTAGCCAGGAGTTTCCCTGCTCTGTTGCCCTGGGTATACGTTCTGAGTTTCAGTTTTGTCAAGATGTGGGTTGTTTTTTGAAAGGACAGTGCATTGATTTGAATGGTGGTGTCCTTTATTTCTTTTTCTTGTGTATCCGTTGGGTTCAGTAGATGAGAAGATGTGGTATCTCTCAGCTTTCGTAGGAGATCCATGTACTCTTTCTCTCGCTTGCGTTTAAGGTACGATGCTCGACTGATAAGGTGACCCCTTATGACCGTTTTGTGGGCCTGCCATATGGAGAAGATAGAGGCTTCCAAATTGTCATTTGTCTTAAAGAAGTTTTCCAATTCTGTCGCCAGTGAAGTTGTGAATGTCTTGTCATGGAGGAGGGAGTCATTGAGGCGCCATGGTGGTTTGCCTCGATGCAGGTAATTAGAGTTTAATGTCATCATCAGTGGGGCATGATCCGACCACACTATGCTACCTATGGTGCAGTCCTCTACGCGTGGGAGCAAAGTACCCGAGGCTAGTATGTGGTCGATTCTAGAATATGTTTTGTGTGCTTGTGAGAAGAAGGTGTAGGACCTGTCTGATGGGTGTGTTGTCCTCCATACGTCGTATAGACTATTTTCATGGATAAGTTTCGCGAATGCTTTATTGTGAGGGCCTAACTTGAGATGTTTGGATGAGGCGCTTGGGGATGTCGAGTCCATGCGAGTATCCATAGTGTGATTGTAGTCTCCGCACAGGATCTTGGGGAAATTTGCGTCGTCTGGCAGTTTGTTGAGGACTTTGTGTAGGAAGTTTCGTTGGTGGTCGTTCGGGCTATAAAGGCATACTATGATGTATGGGTGGTCATTGATTCTGCATTGCAAAATGATATATCTTCCTTGGGTATCTTTTTTGATCCGTAGGGTTTCTACAGTTAGGGAGTTGTGGAGTAGTATCGAAACTCCTCTAGATTTGGACGTATGGGTTGCGTGAAACTGTGTTGGGTAGTCCCTATTGGCAAATTGAGGAACCCTATTGGTTACGAAGTGCGTTTCTTGTATGCAGACTATGTCTGCTTTGGTGCGTTTTATGTCGTCTAGTAGCATTCGGCGTTTATGTGGTGTGTTGAGGCCCTTAGTATTGTGTGAGTAAATGATCATGTTCGTTTGTACTTAATGCAGTGCGTGGAGAGGGTGATATATAGCTTTGCGGCGTGAGTTGGCTCTTCTATGTGTCACTATATGTGGGGGGGGAGAGGGCAGGGTTGTGTGATTGGGGTGAGGTGTTGTAGAAGGGTGGTACTATGTACAAGGACCTTGTGGTCTGGCACGCTAGTCGCGCCGTGGGGTTGAGGAGCTGGTGCTTCCAAGTACGTGGCTGGTGGGCTCCTAGTTGTGTATTGGGATGGAGCTGAAACCATGTGCAATGAGGTGTTAAACATTATAACATATAAACAGTAAAGTATAACAGTAATTAATATCAGCAAGGAGGCAAGCAAGTAACAATGTGTCATTTGACATTTTAAACCAAGTAGGGCCCTGTAAGTCACACTCCAGTGCTTATTGCGTCTATGCCCATTCACCCCGGGTTTACCTATGTTCGTACCGTTAGTTTGAAAGGGGGGGCTGCTCTTTCCCCGCAGGGCCATTGGAGTTCGCTTGGTGTGTTGCCCTGGGTTTGGGTTTTCCTAGATGGGAACATACATCATAGCAGGGGAGCATATGTGGAGGGGTCCAGCAAGTTTATGTTTGCCGTTGTGCGCCTATGTATTGGCTAGCTTGTAGGTATTTTAGAGTGGCACGGGGCATGTCGAACCTTCATTGGCCGAGGGCCCAGTGTGGTAGTGTGGCGCGGAGCTTATGCGTGCCATCAAGGTGGGGTTTGGCGAAACAGAGTTTGGTTAGTCGGCCCTATGGGTCGCTGAACCTTCCACTCGATCCCTGCTATTTTTATTTATAAGGTTGGCGTGTTGGTCGTGGGGATGGATGCCTTGAAGTGCCGTTGAGGCGGACATGTGCCTGTCCCAGGGTTTCCCGGTACAGTATCCCCTCCATTGTATGCTATGTGCCCCTCGTTCTTTATGTTCAAAGGCACTATCCGGTGTTATAATATTGGATATAGGGGGATAGACCTGAGCTAATGGCATAGGTTAGATATTTTATTTTTTTTTTTTTGGCATCACCCGTGCAGCGCTTATCCCAGCACAGAGTGTCGCCCCTAGGTGGGTTCCCGTGGGGGTGATGAGTTACTGGGATAGACACATCAGCATGGGAGACTTTCTATAGGGGTGGCATTTAGTCAATATATATACATAGATAAGTAATAACTTGGTCGTAAGGGAGCGCATGTTATTAAACAGTGATACTTGCGTTGAGTCTAGCTGACTTTTCCAGCTAGGTATATCAGTTCATGTCCGTTGTGCGGCCTGGGCTGCGGTTGACAAGGCGGAACTCCTCCGAGGACTCCTTCAGTAGGCCCCATTTTTCCAAGAAGCGCTTGCCCTCCTCTGGCGACGAAATAACGGTCGTCTTCCCTTGTCTGGAGAGAATCAGCTTCGTGGGGAAGCCCCACCGGTAGCGTATGCCGTGGCTGCGGAGTGCTGTAGTGGTCTGTGTGTAGTCCTTCCTGCAGCGGAGAGTGGCTGATGATATGTCCGCCATGATGCGCACTGCTGGGAAATCCACGTGTGTGCCTCCTCTGCTGCGGTGAGAGCGGAGGACCAGCTCTTTAATGTGAAAATAGTGAGCCCTAAGTAGGACGTCACGCGGTATGGAGTCCGGCAGGTTTTTTGGCTTCGCCACCCTGTGGATCGTGTCTATCAGGAGCATGTCGGCAGGTATGTCTGGGGCGTATGCCCTCATAAGGCCTCGTGCATAGGCTTGCAGATCGTCGGGGAGGACTGTTTCTGGTACTCCCCGGAGCCGTAGGTTATTCCTGCGTGCCCTGTCTTCGTGGTCCGCCATTCACATTTCCATATTTTCCATCTTGCAGCGCAGCACCTGTAAGTGCTCCGAGATTGTTGTTTGTGCGGAGGTAAGCTCCTGATAGTGCTTTTCCACTGCAGAGGTCCTGGATGATAGGTCCCTCACCTCCTTTTTAATTTGGTCAGCCGTCGCCTGCCATGTAAAAATCAGTTTTGTTGCCATTGCATCCATAGCCTGCTCGAAGTGGCTCCGTGTCAGGCAGTCTATAGGCTGGGAGTCATCCGGCGTTGTCAGCGGTGGGCTGGGTGCTATACCATCCGCGCCCTCGTGCTCTGCTGCCCGCATGGTCTCCGTTGTGGAGGAGGATTTGTGGCCAAAAAAATTCATTTTTTCTGCCTTGAGTGCAGCTATCTTTGCTTTGGACGTAGCCATGGTGTATTAGTTAGTGTAGAGGTTTCAGCTCGTTGAATTTTGCTATTTAGTGGAGCCCTCGTGCCGGAGCAAAGATTTAGACGTCCATCTTGCTCGGCGGTTAGCCACGCCCCCCCATGTTGGTGCTTTTTAAATGCCAGCAATTAATAAATAACAAACTCCACATCCAAAATACATCAATACAAAATAATCAACACATTTTTTTTTTGCCACAAGTCTTTAAAGTAGTTTCTGTTAAAGTCAAATATATTTTTAACTAACAGTTTTTATGTATATTATTGATATGCTTGATATGCTTATCATACATATTTATGAGCTTAGATCATCAACCCTAACAAAAATGTTTACCTTAACTCTTTCCTTAACCTAAAAATAACTTTAGTGTATTTTAGCATGCATATCTCCTAAATGGAGACAATTGCTGAAATATATCATTGTGATATTACCCAGCTAGTACTCAGTGGCAGTGAGAAAATATTGTGACACCTTTGAAAATGTACTACTTGGAAAAAAATATGGTCCAAGACCAGTGAGCGTAAAATAAGCCTTTTATCATGTCCCATGTTAATGAAGGTCAGTGTCTATATTCTACTCCCCAGGGATGTCTCAGCTCATTATTTCTCCTGTCTCCAAGCATCTAAGTGGCTTCAAGGGCAAACTGGAAAGGTCTCGTCTACATTTTTCTTTGCATCCATAATAACACAAGGACATCTTACTTGACATTGTGTATGTAAAGACATTAGGTATTTCTTGTGATTTTACATGTAATCAATATTCCATAGTTTTATGTGATTGGAAACTGTGCCTTTGTTAAGAATAAAGACACAAGATATAGATCGAAAGATTTTTTGTCAATCTTTCTTTTATTGAGGCATTTGTTAAATGGGATACAGAACAGAGAGAAGGGGATATACGTTTGTCATACAGATTGGGATCACGCTAACACAATGCATCATCTCCTATGAGTGAC